AAACACATGGAATCACTGAACCTGTGGAATTAGAGCTTCTTCTATAGCCAAGACTGATCGTGGACATAGGCATATATCTGTTCCAGGATTGGTCAGTTTTTTGGACTCTTGTTCTAACTGGTCTATTGCTGATCCTTTATTTGAATATTCTGGAGCCTTCTTTTGATTAACAGTGGCAGCTGTCACCAGCACATGCTATTTCTCCACCTATGATATTAAACAGCAGGTAGCCTGGCAAGATTCAGTTAACCCGGGAGGGGTTACACAGAGGTCATTCCTATTATCTTAACAGGTATTTATTTAACAGGGCCTGTTAAACCATAACACCTGGCCACACCAGAGGGACATGCCAGCTCTCAGTGTAAACCAAAGGCAGCTCACATGTCCATATAGAACAATAACTGGAAGGATCCTGGGTGTACTAGGACCCGGCATCCCGAGCCGAGGAGTGGGGCAGATGTTCAAGAGGCGCCACTCCCCAACTTCAGGGGTGGGCAGCCGCTTCAGCTTCAGATGGTCTGGCAGGTCTTCAGCCAGAGTGAGCCTTGATCAAAGCTGCTAGGCTTCTTCTAGTCTTGAAAAAGGCCGCTTAGTGGCCTTTCTTCATCTTCATTATTGCAGTCTGTCTTCTGCCGCAGAACCACTAAAGCATTAGACTCCGCCTCTTCCATGCCCAAGATCCCTTGTCTAGGCATAACCTATGTTTGTGATTGGTCCTGCTTTTGAATCCTGGCTCTAATTGGATTAATTTTGATCCTTTTTTTGAATATTCTGGAACCTTATTTTGATTGACAGTAGCAACTGCCACCAGCACATGATATATTTCCCCCGTGATTTCAAATTAGCATGGCAGGAAGCCTGTCTCACTCAACCAGGGATATAGAGAGGTCACCCATATGTTCCTATGCAGGATTCAAAACCTTAACATTTCAGCTACGACACCAAGCTCTTTGTAGTCTCCCAGTACTTCCACAGTAGACCTTGTCACTTCAGTACAGTTACTCGCTGCACTGGATAATATTATCCAAAAGTTTATCGAGTTGTGCCTCTACTTTGTTCCATTTTGCAAAGCTATACAAATACATGATTACTTCATCAATATCCTTGCTTTCATTTCTCAACAAAATCCAGAGAATTAAACAGGAATGGGTTGTTTCCTCTGACTGCAGAGGACATTCAGAGCTCTGGGTCCATGTGTCAGCTCTGGTATGAAGTTGCCAAATTGCTTGGTTCTGCTACCAAGCCTGCCATTCACAAACTGCTGCTTACCTCGGCAGTGGGGACCCCAAAGGCCCCTTTTTACAATGCCTCAGGCCCGAAGCTAAGAGGCAACTCATAGGCCCCAGTTTCCCTGCCTTTCCTGAATCTGCCCCTCTCCCAGCCTCAGACTTACACATGCTTTATGAACTGCTTTCTGCAGAATGGTTCAAGCTTAAGCCAAAATGGGAGCAGGGGACAGCTCCAAGGGTCAAATCTTCATTATGCTTAACCCCTCCCCCTCAGGACTGCAAGCAGAAGTCTGAAGTCTATCCCTCTGTCTGAACTAACACAGCAATCCTTCCTTCTCCCTTTTCATAGAAGACTTTGAGGCTGCAGAATCTGAGCAAGCAGAGCAAGTATTCCACCATGCGCCATATAGATGCGCTGCTCAGCCAAGGAAACAAGAAAAGGAACAGACTCAGGCTCTTTCTTCATATCAGCAAGAATCCAAAACATAACAGCAAGCAGTGCCTTTGCTAGAAGTGACTCTGCAGGCACTCCCTTGAGACCAGGAAAGTGATTTAAAAGGAATTAATTACAGGTTTCAGAAACACCTGAAGTTCTGGTGTGCTGTTGATCCAAGGACATCAACCCAAATCCTAAATGTTTCTTTTCAGACTTAGGTAAACTGAGAAACACCCTCAAAATGGCTAACAATTCAGCTCCTGCTGTGGCAACCAAGGCACACTATAGGGAGCATGAGCTCTAGAGTACTATGCTTACCTAATACCAGAGAGAACAATCACAGTCCTCTTCACAGAACAAGACATTTCTCTACAAATATAACTGCTATTTCAAAATCAGCATAACAGGAGAAGCTAGGAATATTGCAGACAGCCTATGAGTTAATAAAGCAACACTTCCTCCCGCACAACTTGCTAGAATACAGCAATTTGGCATGACAAGAACTGAATTCAAGATATGGCAGAACACTGCACACAGTACCCGGTACCACCTCAGGCCACCATGAAGAGTCTGCTGTGACTTACACTCGGTTAATAGCTCACAGTTTGCTCAAGTAATAGCAACTCAGTCACGCTCTGCTTTGCATTAATTCGAGATCTAGGAGTTTCTCATTGAGTGGGAAACTGGCATAGGCCTGCCAGATAAACCTGGGCCACCCTTCCCTCTTTCACTTCTCTAGAACTTGACTGTGTCTCACAGCTGTGAGTTATTACATACTTTACATAAGCATAGTCTTTCTCACTCTCCTTCACATTTTTTTTTTTTTATACACAAGTAGATTTTAAAGGTGGAAGAGACAGGGCTTTAAAAAGGAGCCAGGGAAATAAGATCCTGAAGGACCTCTACTTTAACTGATTATTATTAAAAATAAATCACTACCAGAGCTATTCTTTAGATGAAGAAGTGCTCTTCCATTTATTTCAAGTCAAAATGTGAACTGGATTAACAACTTCTTTTCACCCCCCCCCCCCCCCCCCCCCCCAACTCAGGCAGGTTCAGAAAGAAATGACAGCAACAGCCTGCAGCAGTTTGGAGGTAGCTGCATAACAAAATAACTTGCTTGCACTTAACACTTCATGCAAAATGGAGATGGCCTTTTTCTTAACAGGACATGAAATGTACCATCATAAATCACTGCTTGCTGATACTAGGGAGTATTATATGACCAGAAGTCATCTGCATGGAAAACAGGCATCTTCCCCATTCTCAAGTCAGATACGCTTAAATGAACATTTTTAGATCCATTCAGTATGGGACACCTGCTTTTGGCACCACAATTAATTAACAAAAGAGGGAAAAGCAGCCAGAGTCCGTGTTTTCATATACTGAATCCTTTTGCAACTCTTGTGTTCATATACTGTCCAGCTTCTTCAAGATGAATGGAGCTGAAAAGAGAAAGCAAAACAGCACAGACTTAGTTCAGCTGAACACAACAGTTTTCAGTGAATCACCAATGAAACTGCAGCACATGTACATGACATGTAAAATATTCAGACTCCAGATAAGTTGCTATGGCTTGCCTCCCATATGCCCCCTTCCCTTCTGGTATCATTGCTTCAACATCTGAGACAGCCAGGATTCAAAGGGAGCTCAGGTATGCCTGCATGTGCTGCAGTCCAGAGCCCTGGACCTGTTGACAACGCAGGGGCAGTGGAGTGGGGAAGGTAACAATGACGAAAAATGAGCATGACTGTTTGCTACGCAGAAGAGTATCCTGAAAGGAAAATCACAAGCCTTTGATGCAACATCCTAAGCCTGCACTACCTAGGAAACAGTTAGCCACATCGTTCTACTTTTTCATGACGCACTTCTGACCCCACGGGCCTCACCAGCTCTGGAAGCGCTGGCGGCATGGCCCCAGCTCTACAGAGTACAATGCAAGAGCCTCTTTCCTGTTGGAAGGCCGGCG